AATGTGGAGAATATTCCTTCTGTCGTGTGCTGCTGCTGTTATTCAGAACACAGGTAAATCAGACTCGCTGTTGGTGTCGTCAATCTGGCAACCTGCGCTTGTGTTTGTTTTGATCCAGGAGTGCAATACCTGACTCAACCACTGGGTGTCAAACTCACACACTGCACCTTTAAAGCACTATTTGTTTATTTGTTTTATTTATTTATTTGAATTATGCATATTAATGGTTTAAAACTTTTAATGAGCTATTAATAATTGTTGGTAAATTTTGATAAAAATTACATTATTAACTTTATGAATTTTATTTTGATTGTTGTATATTTTTAAAGTTGAATTTATTTAATTGAGATTTAGTGAGTAGTTTTTAACGTTGTTTTAATTTTACATTGTATCATTATTACTTCGTTATCAGTTGACTGTTTCTATTAAATATAAAGCTCAGTGTGTGTAATCAGAGACTCCGGCAGGCGTTGATGATCATGATGAACCGTTCTACAACAGTATTATTATTATTACTGTTCACCTGTTTAGCAGAAATCAATAGATTGCAGGATACTCAAGCTCTCTGTGTGTGTGTGTGTGTGTGTGTGTGTGTGTGTGTGTGTGTGTGTGTGTGTGTGTGTGTGTGTGTGTTGTTCACAGATTCAGGCACAGAAGGTTCGGCTGGCCAGAACTCAGGGCCCATATTATGGAGGATCATTACCCAACGTCAACCAGATTGGCAGAAACACCTCTGACCTGCAGGTGTGTGTGAGTGTGCATTTCTGTGTGTGTGTCTGTACCTCTCTGTATGTGTGTGTGTGTGCGTGTGTGTGTCTGTCTGCGTGGTCTCTGTGTATTTTTGTGTGTTTGTTCATGTCTGTGTGTGTGTGTGTGTGTGTGTGTGTGTGTGTGTGTGTGTTAGGAGTGTCAAAATGAATAGTTTCTGCGGTGCAGCGTGATGCAGACGTGGATAATTCAGTATGAGTTCAGTAATGATCATAAGCGGTTATTGTGTACTGATGTCATTTATCTCATATGCGCTCTGTCGAGGGAGGCGAGCGAGAGTATTTACAACACTCCAACTACTTAAAACTCAGAAACTGTGCACAATCTGACTGTGTGTGTGTTTGCTGGATCAGTCTTTCACTGACACTTACAGCAGAAGCCCCTATTTCACTGCCATTGAGCGAATGAAAATACTCATCTCTCTCTCTCTCTCTCTCTCTCACTGTGGCCGAGCGCGTGTCTGCAGAGTTTTCTCCACCGTGTCTATCATGGATCAGCTGTGATCGCCGCCTGCCGCTTATCAGTGTTGCTCATCTGTGAAGAGCGCAGCGCGCAAGAGCCAATCACAGCCGTTTTTGTTGAGGGTGTGACCAATCAAAGAGGTGTAAGAGAACTAGACAAGGATCAGAAAGCGAGCGGGATATTTATATTTGTTAATTTGCTATAAATGCTCATGTTGTTTAAAGGTACAGTTTATATATCTGACTGTTTAACAAAATTACATTACAAATAGTATATAAACATAAATATATTCATACGTTTTAATACAAGAACTGCT